AGTGAACCACAACCCGATCTGTAGCTGTCCGCCTCGTTTCACAGGGGACCCTTTCATTAGATGTCTGTCTATGCGTGAGTCTTGTTAATTTGTTTCATTGTCCTGTGTTTTATCCACTCACTTTTCTTAGTGAATGTATTTTGACAGTGTGGTTCTTGTTGTGTCTAGCTGAGACTCCTGTGCTGGCGTCTCCTCAGAATCCATGTGTGCCATCACCGTGTGGGCCCAATGCTGTATGCGACGTGTCTGGAGAAAATCCTTCGTGCTCTTGTCTTCCTGATTTCATGGGCTCTCCTCCCCAATGCCGCCCAGAATGTGTGAGCAATAGTGAATGTGCGAGTCATTTGGCATGTGTTGATCGCAGGTGTAAAGACCCATGCCCAGGGTTGTGTGGAGTCAATTCTGAATGCCGAGTGGTGAGCCACACACCTACATGCGTGTGTGTGACAGGCTTCTCTGGAGATCCCTTTACACAGTGTTTGGCTGTTCTATGTAAGGCTTATTTCTTAATGTTTCACCCAGTTAATGAACTGGACATATTGAAAGCACTGCATCTATATGGGTGGGAAGGGGATGAGGGAATCTGTTTGCTAAGTTATTTTTTTGATAAGTATATTATTCATTCTGTATATATGACACGTTTTTGCCCTTTCTGTACCTCTTAATTTCCTTTCTCATCGAACCTCTCATCTTCCTTGTTATAGATAGAAATTATTTTGAACCTCATGCATAAATACATCATTTATATTATAGTTTTAGTTTTTAATTGTTTGAAATTTCATNATGATGGATGAGTGTACATGAAAAATCCTGTGTGTGTGTATGTGCCCGTGAAAGGGTGTTTGTGTATTCTGGACGCTAATATATTGTGTAAATCTGTACAGTAGAATATCACGGTAATGTACTCGTTCTTGTAACGTGTTTGTTATATTGATATATCACATAATTCTTTGGTATTTTATCTGTAAATGAAATCTTCTTTGCCTGTATCATATTTCATATGTATGGATGCCGTATGGTGAGCCACATGCCTACATGAGTGTGTGTTAGACAGGTTTCTCTGGAGATCCCTTTACACAGTGTTTGCCTGTTCTATGTAAGGCTTATTTCTTAATGTTTCACCCAGTAATGAACTGGACATATTGAAAGCACTGCATCTATATGGGTGGGAAGGGGATGAGGGAATCTGTTTGCTAAGTTATTCTTTTGATAAGTATATTATTCATTCTATATATATGACATGTTTTTGCCCTTTCTGTACCTCTTAATTTCCTTTCCCTTTGAACCTCTCATCTTCCTTGTTATAGATAGAAATTATTTTGAACCTCATGCATAAATACATCATTTATATTATAGTTTAATTTTATTTGTTTGAAATTTCAGTTTTGGATGATGGATGAGTGTACATGAACAATCCTGTGTGTGTGTATGTGCCCGTGAAAGGGTGTTTGTGTATTCTGGACGCTAATATTTTGTGAAAATCGGTACAGTAAGATATCACGGATATGTTCTCGTTTTTATAACGCGTTTGTTATGTTGATATATCACGTAATTCTTTGGTATTTTATCTCTAAATGGAATCTTCTTTGCCTGTAGCATATTTCGTATGTACCAAAAATGAAATGGCAAGCTTGACAAAGGTTGAGGATATGATTACCCTTAAACGTATTTTCTTATCTAGGCTTCAGTTTTTAGTAAATTATGTCAGTGCACAGTACAATAAGTTTTAGCCATGAAGGTTATCAATTTCAATTTCCAAATAGTTTCCCTGAGATTCTTCCATACTGCAAGTAAATGGTCCATTTACATAATCACCCAACTTCAGGCAATGAAGAAATACAACCTATTGCTAACATAAATTCCTTGTATCCTGAATTGATAAATCCACAGAACTATCTCATTCTCATTGGCACTGTTTGTCAAAATTATATTCCCCCCACCCTTTATAGTGCCAACACCAGACACTTGAGATAAATAATTCATACATAGTCATTTCCTCCTCAAAAAAGTAATTAAACAACTGATTAAAAAAAATGTTGCCAACATCAGTAATATGCACCCCAAAACTGGACCAACAGTATCAATATGCACCTTTACACAAATATTTTGTAGAATATAATTTCCACATAACTAGCATTTATAGAATTTCTAAAATTTCTCGTTATAATAAGTACACGTAATATCCAAAACTGGTTGAAATGTGTCTTCAGCCCCAACCTATGATTACATGTATTCATGTATAGCTGCAAAATCGAGAATAGAACAAAACAGGAACTGCAGTATTTATTCTTCTTGGCTTATTTGCAACAAAATCTTCCGAAAATATCCATATTAGCTTGGCCACGTCTGTCTGTAGATCCTTATATCTGCATACAACAAATAGAGAAGTGCTGAACGAGTTTTCATGAAATTCTATATTTGAGAGTTTGAGCAAAATATGTGAATGTATTTCATCATCGATTAAGATCTCAGCACGATAAAATACACTACTAAGATGTTTTTCTGGGCGCATCTCACGCTGAAACCACGCGAAGTCTCCAAGTATTTATCAGAACAAAAAATGTTGTAATCAAATAATGTACTTGTAGATAAAAATGAAACTCATATTTATTGCCCAAAACTTTTTCGCATTAGCCTTGTGGTTTTTAAGATAATGAAATAGAATGGATTTTGTGCTGTCTACCTACATGCCATGGTTTTTACACAATGTTAACATTTCTGAAGATGCTTGAAATGGTTGTCATATAGAAGTGAAAGTAATGAGGATTAATTCACCACTCTGGACATCATTATTATCATCCAAACTGAGGTGTTGACAATTTTCTAATGCTTCCATGATTAGTTGTACTCGCAATTGTCGATGTTTTTTTTTATTGTATATTAAAACGGCCTGTGTGCTAAGCCCTTTCGCTGCGGGGTGACAGAATCTCTCTTCAGACATACAGTTCTCAGATTTCTGAATGCGGTCTGTTCTGTCCCAAAGGAAGGAGAGCAACAGTGTGTGGTTTGATGGTATCTTTATGAACCCCCACCTATAAATACCTTGGGAAGCAAATCTGAAATTGTAGTATGTGCAAAGAGTTAGGAGAAAATTTTAACCTGTAGAGAAAAAAACCCTAGTTTTGTAATAGATATTTCCATACATGTAACATTAATATATTGGTGGTGTTCATTTTTCTCATTATGGAGCTTTTGTTATAAGCCGTACTTGTTACATGGCAGTACCACTGTATTTACTTCAGTTTTGATATAGTCAATATGCCATTGTGTATCAAGTAACAAAATTACTCACTTTAAGATCTCTAACGTAGTGGGCGCTCTTTATGAATAAAAAAGGGGTGTGGAACTTAGGATTGTCCGTCTCTGACCTAATATCAGAGCCTAAATTGTTAGATAGACTTTTTTAAAATTCGACATTGGAGACTTTCACAAAAGTTTGGTGGACATTTAAAAATTTCAGTCATATTGATCCCCCACAAAGACTACCTTACATAATGATTTATATTAACATTTATTGTGTAATAGAAACCTTTATCAGATTCAATATGAACAATCTTTATATAACGTTGATTCGCCACTTTGGTTTTCAGCAATGCTGACCGAATACAAAAGACACAAATGAATTTTCACAATTATGTTACAAGTCATTAATTAAATTTGTTTTACACGTAAGTTCAACATGAGAGATCTTTCCATAATGCTAGTTAAATATTTTGAGTTCTTCAAATTGACTGATTACATAGCCTATTTTACCTAAGGTCACGCGGTAGCATAGTGGTTGAGGAGCTATGTNTACTTACTTGGGAACAAAAAGTTCATAAGCAAAATGTATGCAAATGCAATAAACCAGAATACTTTAACTGGGCTCTTAACATTCTACAGAACAGTGAAACAAGTGTAATATGATAATAACACGGCATTTGGTATGTTAGAGCAGTGATTCCTTGTCATGAATCTGTGAGATCATAAAAGATTAATTAGCCATGTTATATTTTAGCGTCCTGTTGCACTGATTTAAGTCCATGATTTATTTCAACCATCTTCCAGTGCACACACTCATCTATCTCCTCCTCTCTCTCGCACTACATGTTTCGGCACAAAAGTGCCAACTTCAGGTGCTTATTTGATTTACGCTAAACTAGTTCATTGCATGCCTTGTCGTCTTCATATTAAAATAACTAAAATATATATTTATCATATATATTTTAGGTATTTTAGTTAAAATAGTTAGTTTAGTTTAGTTTAGTTAGTTAAAATATATATTTATCATATATATTTTAGTTATTTTAATATGAAGACGACAAGGCATGCAATGAACTAGTTTAGCGTAAATCAAATAAGCACCTGAAGTTGGCACTTTTGTGCCGAAACATGTAGTGCGAGAGAGAGGAGGAGATAGATGAATGTGTGCACTGGAAGATGGTTGAAATAAATCATGGACTTAAATCAGTGCAACAGGACGCTAAAATATAACATGGCTAATTAATCTTTTATGATCTCACAGATTCATGACAAGGAATCACTGCTCTAACATACCAAATGCCGTGTTATTATCATATTACACTTGTTTCACTGTTCTGTAGAATGTTAAGAGCCCAGTTAAAGTATTCTGGTTTATTGCATTTGCATACATTTTGCTTATGAACTTTTTGTTCCCAAGTAAGTATGCTCCCATTTTCATATACAGAGTATATAAAAATAGAGTATCTATACTTTTACATCACCTCTGTGAGATGTAGAGAACTGACTGTTTATGAAGCTTTAGAATAATGAGAACTAGTCAAAGTAAAAGAGAATGTTACATAAATATTGCATTATTCACAGCTGATAGTTCCTCCATTTCTCAGATTATAATAAATAGGAAGACAGACTGAGAACCGTACCAAATACAGTAGCATTCTCTGACACAAAGAGCAGGAGTAATAGTACATACAGTCATGAGTATTTTTGTGAAATAGCACAGTGCTGTTTGTTTGACTTAATTTTTACTATGTTTATTTGTTTACTCTCTGGCTTGATGGTTGACTTCTTTGAGATTTGTGCGTCATTTCCAGATCATTTAGCACTGAGATTACAAGAGACTTCAAATTATTACAGCCATTATTGTTATATGTGTGATTATGACAAAGTACAGTACATACTGAAAGAGTGAAGTATATGCCTTTTACATATTTAACAAAAGCTTGTCTATTTATTATATACATTGGATGGAAGATTTAATTCTTTTTAAAAATTATGTAATTATAAATCTAACAATTTATATCACAAACTCAGTGTTATCAGTTCAAAATTCGGTATGTCCTTGCAGTGCCAGCATTACCTCAGGAGAGACCAACTCCTTGTGTGCCATCACCATGTGGATCAAATGCAGTCTGCAGAGAACAAAATGGAGCAGGCTCTTGTACCTGTCTCCCTGATTATGTGGGAAATCCATATGAAGGTTGTCGTCCAGAATGTGTGTTAAATTCAGACTGTTCTTCTAATCGTGCGTGTATACGAAACAAGTGTCAGGATCCTTGTCCAGGAACGTGTGGCCAGAATGCAGACTGCCAAGTTGTGAATCACTTACCATCTTGCACATGTCGCCCAGGCTTCACTGGAGATCCATTCAGATTCTGCAACAACCTACCTACTCAATGTAAGACAGTTTTGCATTTCTGAGCATATTTAAATCTCTGTCTTTCCATATTTAAATCCCCAAGGTGAATTCCTTTTCTTTGGACTGCTCATATATCTTTGATGGATATAAATTTCACATAATCTTTCATACATGATACAAATTTATGTAATATTATGGTATCCGATTTTGCTTTCACCCATTTTTTATTTAAATTCACACAGCTGTGGAAGCAGAACTTGGAGATCCTTGCAGTCCATCTCCATGTGGACCAAACAGTCAGTGCAAAACAGTAAATGGACAGGGCGTATGTTCATGCCTGCCGACCTATATTGGCATCCCACCAGGTTGTAGGCCAGAGTGTGTTGTGAGCTCGGAATGTCCCCAGAACAGAGCGTGTGTGAATCAGAAATGCGTGGACCCATGTCCAGGAACATGTGGACTGAATGCACGTTGTGAAGTGATCAACCACAGTCCAATCTGTAGTTGTCAGGCTGGGTTTACAGGGGACCCTTTCACAAGATGTTTCTCCATACCACGTAAGCATCAATTCACTCAAATTTTGTCATTGGAAAAGTTAAAATGTTGCAATAAATTTGTCGTATAAACGTATTGATAAGGTAAGTCAATAAGTAAGTTACAAATGGATATATAACTTAAACAAATAAGAGTACTAATTTGAAAAATGCTTTCATAATCTCCCTGTACATTGAGGCACTTGTCCCATCATATCACAAGCCCCTGAAAACCAGCAGCATAAAATTCTTTGAGCTGCTGTCAGAACCAGGCAGTGAGTTCCCTTTACAGGGAACATCCTCAAGAAACTTCATTAAGGCCATTCAACAGAAGCGACCAAAACTCCTCACCAAAGGCATGTTACTCTTGCATGACAACGTGCTTCCCCATACTGCCAACAAGACAAATGAGGCACGGCAAAATTTCAAGTGGGAAGTCCTTGAGCATCCTCCGTGTAGCCCCGACCTTGCTCCAAGTGGCTTCCATTTGTACAGCCCTCTTAAAAATCATCTTTCAGCTGAAAATTTTCCCGACGATGAAGCTGTAGAGATGGAAGTCACCGCCTGGTTCCAGCAGCAGCCCAAATAATTTTATGCTGCTGGTTTTCAGGGGCTTGGGAAGTGATACGACAAGTGCCTCAATGTACAGGGAGATTACTTACTTACTCATGGACCTGAGCCCTTCTGGAGGAGCCACCAATTCTGCAGCTGCTCAAGAAAATCGCAGCATTTTGTGGAACCCGAGGGTTCATTACCGTGTTCATAAGAGCCTTCCACTGGCCCCTATCCTGAGCCAGATCAATCCAATCCATACCATCCCATCCTATCTCTCTAAGATACATTTTAATATTGTCCACCACCTATGCTTTGGTCTTTCCAGTGGTCCTTTCTTTCTGGCTTACCCACCAATATCCTATATGTATTCCTCGTCTCCCCCATTCATGCTACATGACCTACCCTCCTCATACTATTTGACCTGATCATTCTAATTATACTTGGAGAAGATTACAAGTTATGAAGCTCCTCATTATGCAGTTTTCTCCAACCTCCTGTCACTTCATCTCTCTTCGGTCCAAATATTCTCCTCAACATCCTGTTCTCAAACACCCTCACTCTGTTACTCCCTTAATGTCAAGAGACCCAAATTTCACACCCATACAGAACACAGACAAAATTATAATTTCGTATATTCTAATTTTTATGTTTTTCGGACAGAAGATTAGAGGATCAAAGGTTCTGGACTGAATGGTAGCAAGCATTACCCAAGTTGAATCTCCTCTTAATTTTCTCCTGAATCAGGTTTTGATCTGTTATCGTTGTTCCCAAATATCTGAACTGTGCTACATTTTCAAAACATCTGTTTCCTACCTTTATGTCAAAAATTTTAACTGCATTTTGATGACGAGACAGCAACATATACTTAGTTTTCTCTGTGTTTACTTCTACTTAGGCTTTGCAATAAGACTCTGATGATTTTTTGAGCCTGGCTATCTTATTGTTATGTTTTGTTTACTACAGCTGTTGCTCAGACTCCACCTTCACAGCCTGTAAACCCATGTGTGCCATCTCCATGTGGACCAAACTCTCAATGTAGAGACATAGGAGGTGCTCCTTCTTGCTCTTGCTTGGCCAACTACATGGGTGTTCCACCAAATTGCCGGCCTGAATGCAGTATTAACCCTGAATGCCAGAGCAATAGGGCATGCATACGTGAAAGATGTCAGGATCCATGCCCTGGATCATGTGGTGCTGGTGCACAATGTGTTGTAATAAATCACACTCCTATTTGTACTTGCCCTGAGGGCTTCACTGGAGATCCATTCAGCAACTGCTTCCCCAGCCCACCTCCACGTAAGGCAACTTTAGCAATCATTGCTTTATACATGACTTAGTAGTAAATGCATTATAGAGAAAGTATAATTCAGTTATATTCAAAACTTACAACCATTACCATTAATATATCATATATCCATTATGACCCAGAAATTGATGACTTCCATTTTCTCATGAGTGCTCAATTAAATTATCACACAAAAATTTCATCTTTCAGCACAGCCACCTCCTCCATCAGACCCCTGCAATCCATCACCTTGTGGACCCAACGCTCAGTGCAACAATGGAACCTGTACTTGCTTGCCAGAATACCAGGGAGACCCCTATGCTGGGTGTAGGCCTGAATGTGTCCTCAGTACCGACTGTCCACGGAACAGAGCTTGTATCAGAAACAAATGTGCCGATCCTTGTCCTGGCACTTGTGGTCAAGGAGCCACATGTGATGTAGTGAATCACATCCCAATATGCAGCTGCCCTCAGGGAATGTCTGGAAATCCCTTTGTTGAATGCAGACCCATTCCACGTATGTATTGCATATGCTTGACAATTTAAGGTGCCTATCCTTTAGTGTCAGATTGTATTATGTCCTGCATATTTGCTAAATATTGTCACTCTGCTCCTCTTAATATAGCACCTGTGGTTACTCAGCCATGTAATCCAACGCCTTGTGGACCAAACAGCCAGTGTCGTGAAATTAATGGCCAAGCTGTGTGCTCGTGTGTTCCTGGCTTCATAGGCAGTCCTCCAGCATGTAGACCAGAGTGTGTAGTGAGCTCTGAATGTAGTCAGAATGAGGCCTGTAGCAACCAGAAATGTAGGAATCCTTGTCCAGGCACCTGCGGTGTAGGAGCTCGCTGTGAAGTCGTGAACCATAATCCAATCTGCAGCTGTCCACCTAGATTCACAGGGGATCCATTTATCAGATGCCAGCCTATACGTAAGATACAAACAACTTCCTTCTTTCAGTTTTCACTTCTGTTCTGAATATATTAATTGTCTCTTGACCACATACCATTACTGACACATGGTTCATACTGTTTTAGCGGAACAACCGCCACAGGCAGCACCACAGAATCCATGTCAGCCCCCACCATGTGGACCAAATGCCGTATGCCAAGTATCTGGAGATAGCCCCTCATGTTCTTGCCTTCCTGACTTCACTGGTACTCCTCCCAACTGTCGTCCAGAATGTGTCAGTAATAGTGAATGTGCTAGTCACCTGGCATGCATCAATCTCAAATGTCGTGATCCATGCCCCGGATCATGTGGAGCCAATGCACAGTGTCGTGTAGTTAGCCACACTCCAAACTGCATCTGTCCAAATGGTTTCACTGGAGACCCCTTCATACAGTGCGTAGTGCAGCAAAGTAAGAATACTATTTATACCGCCATCCATAGATTCTGATTTAAAGAGAAATATACTTGTACGATTCTCTTCTGAGTTAGACGTTCTGTATTTCTTCACCTCTTCCACCTGTTTAAAGACATTTGTTTTTCAGCTCCTGTGGTACAAGAAAGACCAACTCCTTGTATACCATCCCCATGTGGAACGAATGCAGTCTGTAGAGAACAGAATGGAGCTGGCTCATGTACTTGTCTCCCAGATTATGTGGGGAATCCATATCAGGGCTGTCGTCCAGAATGTGTCCTCAACACAGACTGCCCTTCAAACCGTGCCTGTATAAGAAACAAGTGTCAGGATCCTTGTCCAGGAACTTGTGGCCAGAATGCAGACTGCCAAGTTGTGAATCACGTACCATCTTGCACATGTCGCCCAGGCTTCACTGGAGATCCATTCAAATTCTGCAATAACTTACCACCTCAACGTAAGATCTCATATCTCATCTGTCCATCTTTATTTAATAAATTTCTGAAGTGAATATGTTATATTGCATTTATATAGAAATGTGAAGTATTGTATTGTTATGGAACTTAATTTTCCTATTGTCCTCTTCTTCAGCTGTACAGCAACAACCAGGAGATCCTTGTGTACCATCTCCTTGCGGACCAAACAGTCAGTGTCGAAATGTGAATGGACAAGCAGTATGCTCTTGCCTACCGAATTACATAGGCACTCCGCCGGGTTGTCGGCCAGAGTGTGTTGTGAGTTCAGAATGTCCCCAGAACAGAGCGTGTGTGAATCAGAAATGCGTGGACCCCTGCCCAGGAACTTGTGGGCTGAATGCACGTTGTGAAGTGATCAACCACAGTCCAATCTGTAGTTGTCAGGCTGGGTTTACTGGAGATCCTTTCACAAGATGTTTCTCCATTCCACGTAAGCCTCAATTCATATTTCCGTCTTATAGAAAGCTAAAGTATTTCTTGTTGTTTCATATGCATTTTAATCAGACATATTTCACTCTTCCAAAGATTTCTAACTCAAGCATTCTGCAGACAGTGGAATGCTACTTACGTAAATAAGATGGAAGAACTGGAAGATATGTAACTGCAGCAGAACCATTTACACTGAAAGTTTGCTTTTCTAAATTGTTTACTACAGATATTACTTTTGAAGTAGTACATGTCACAATTGTATATAAAAAATAGTAGAGTACTCTTTTCTCAATGTATCATCTTCTTTACAATTAAACAGATTTCTCTAGACAAATATATAGGCAAAAGTAAATAATTACTCATGTCTCCAAGACTAATTATTTCTATCCTGCATGACAGTCTCAAAATGTCCTTCATTTCTCTAGTGCAATATTAAAATTTTGTCATTGGAAAAGTTTAATTGTTAAAACAAATTTGTCATATAAACGTATTGTTATACATAGAATCTGCCCCATTTTTTTTGTTTAGAGAAGACTAAGTAACGCCTGTTAGTAGCCACGTTGTCATTGTGCATTAAAGTGTGGCTTTGAACTTTGTTTTGAAGTATTCAAAGTAGGCTGAAATTTGATATATTTTATGTAAAATTTATATAGAGATATTTCCTTTTCTAGAAGTAGTTACATGTATGAGCAATAGTTAGAACTTTCAGCACATTTATCCTTTTACCAAAGGATTAGTTTGTATTCATGTAACCATACTGCTGAATTGTTGGAAGGAAGAATATTCACAGGCTTTGCAATATGACTGTAATGATTTTTTGAGCCTGGCTATCTTATTGTTATGTTTTGTTTACTACAGCTGTTGCTCAGACTCCACCTTCACAGCCTGTAAACCCATGTGTGCCATCTCCATGTGGACCAAACTCTCAATGTAGAGACATAGGAGGTGCTCCTTCTTGCTCTTGCTTGGCCAACTACATGGGTGTTCCACCAAATTGCCGGCCTGAATGCAGTATTAACCCTGAATGCCAGAGCAATAGGGCATGCATACGTGAAAGATGTCAGGATCCATGCCCTGGATCATGTGGTGCTGGTGCACAATGTGTTGTAATAAATCACACTCCTATTTGTACTTGCCCTGAGGGCTTCACTGGAGATCCATTCAGCAACTGCTTCCCCAGCCCACCTCCACGTAAGGCAACTTTAGCAATCATTGCTTTATACATGACTTAGTAGTAAATGCATTATAGAGAAAGTGTAATTCAGTTATATTCGAAACTTACAACCACAACCATTAATATATCATATATCTATTATGACACAGAACTTGATGACTTCCATTTTCTCTGAGTGCTCAATTAAATTATCACACAAAAATTTCGTCTTTCAGCACAGCCACCTCCTCCATCAGACCCCTGCAATCCATCACCTTGTGGACCCAATGCTCAGTGCAACAATGGAACCTGTACTTGCTTGCCAGAATACCAGGGAGACCCCTATGCTGGGTGTAGGCCTGAATGTGTCCTCAGTACCGACTGTCCACGGAACAGAGCTTGTATCAGAAACAAATGTGCCGATCCTTGTCCTGGCACTTGTGGTCAAGGAGCCACATGTGATGTAGTGAATCACATCCCAATATGCAGCTGCCCTCAGGGAATGTCTGGAAATCCCTTTGTTGAATGCAGACCCATTCCACGTATGTATTGCATATGCTTGACAATTTAAGGTGCCTATCCTTTAGTGTCAGATTGTATTATGTCCTGCATATTTGCTAAATATTGTCACTCTGCTCCTCTTAATATAGCACCTGTGGTTACTCAGCCATGTAATCCAACGCCTTGTGGACCAAACAGCCAGTGTCGTGAAATTAATGGCCAAGCTGTGTGCTCGTGTGTTCCTGGCTTCATAGGCAGTCCTCCAGCATGTAGACCAGAGTGTGTAGTGAGCTCTGAATGTAGTCAGAATGAGGCCTGTAGCAACCAGAAATGTAGGAATCCTTGTCCAGGCACCTGCGGTGTAGGAGCTCGCTGTGAAGTCGTGAACCATAATCCAATCTGCAGCTGTCCACCTAGATTCACAGGGGATCCATTTATCAGATGCCAGCCTATACGTAAGATACAAACAACTTCCTTCTTTCAGTTTTCACTTCTGTTCTGAATATATTAATTGTCTCTTGACCACATACCATTACTGACACATGGTTCATACTGTTTTAGCGGAACAACCGCCACAGGCAGCACCACAGAATCCATGTCAGCCCCCACCATGTGGACCAAATGCCGTATGCCAAGTATCTGGAGATAGCCCCTCATGTTCATGCCTTCCTGACTTCACTGGTACTCCTCCCAACTGTCGTCCAGAATGTGTCAGTAATAGTGAATGTGCTAGTCACCTGGCATGCATCAATCTCAAATGTCGTGATCCATGCCCCGGATCATGTGGAGCCAATGCACAGTGTCGTGTAGTTAGCCACACTCCAAACTGCATCTGTCCAAATGGTTTCACTGGAGACCCCTTCATACAGTGCGTAGTGCAGCAAAGTAAGAATACTATTTATACCGCCATCCATAGATTCTGATTTAAAGAGAAATATACTTGTACGATTCTCTTCTGAGCTAGACGTTCTGTATTTCTTCACCTCTTCCACCTGTTTAAAGACATTTGTTTTTCAGCTCCTGTGGTACAAGAAAGACCAACTCCTTGTATGCCATCCCCATGTGGAACGAATGCAGTCTGTAGAGAACAGAATGGAGCTGGCTCATGTACTTGTCTCCCAGATTATGTGGGGAATCCATATCAGGGCTGTCGTCCAGAATGTGTCCTCAACACAGACTGCCCTTCAAACCGTGCCTGTATAAGAAACAAGTGTCAGGATCCTTGTCCAGGAACTTGTGGCCAGAATGCAGACTGCCAAGTTGTGAATCACGTACCATCTTGCACATGTCGCCCAGGCTTCACTGGAGATCCATTCAAATTCTGCAATAACTTACCACCTCAACGTAAGATCTCATATCTCATCTGTCCATCTTTATTTAATAAATTTCTGAAGTGAATATGTTTTATTGAATTTATATAGAAGTGAGAAGTATTGTATTGTTATGGAACTTAATTTTCCTATCGTCCTCTTCTTCAGCTGTACAGCAACAACCAGGAGATCCTTGCGTACCATCTCCTTGCGGACCAAACAGTCAGTGTCGAAATGTGAATGGACAAGCAGTATGCTCATGCCTACCCAATTACATAGGCACTCCACCGGGTTGTCGGCCAGAGTGTGTTGTGAGTTCAGAATGTCCCCAGAACAGAGCGTGTGTGAATCAGAAATGCGTGGACCCCTGCCCAGGAACTTGTGGGCTGAATGCACGTTGTGAAGTGATCAACCACAGTCCAATCTGTAGTTGTCAGGCTGGGTTTACTGGAGATCCTTTCACAAGATGTTTCTCCATTCCACGTAAGCCTCAATTCACATTTCCATTTTATAGAAAGCTAATGTATTTCTTGTTGTTTCATATGCATTTTAATCAGATATATTTCACTCTTCCAAAGATTTCTAACTCAAGCATTCTACAGACAGTGGAATGCTAGTTACGTAAAGAAGATGGAAGACCTGGAAGTTATGTATCTGCAGCAGAACCATTTACACTGAAAGTTTGCTTTTCTAAATTGTTTACTACAGATATTACTTTTGAAGTAGTACATGTCACAATTGTATATAAAAAATAGTAGAATACTCTTTTCTTAATGTATCAGCTTCTTTACAATTAAACAGGTTTCTCTAGAAAAATATATAATGAAAAGTAAGTAATTACCCATGTCTCCAACTAATTATTTTTATTGTGCATGACAGTCTCGAAATGTCCTTCATCTCTATAGTGAAATATTCAGATTTTGTCATAAGTGTAAATATTGAAACAGATTTGTTGTATATACTGTTGGTTTTCTTTTTGTCATGCTTACATATCACTTAACAGCCATATTGGATCAGAAGAACTTTTTATTATAATACAAAACAAAATCAAATGAATATAGTTCACTATTACTAACATGAACATTTTTACATTACTAGATTCTCAACATTCCTCCTTAATTTCAAAATGTTGTCAACATTATTAGCTGTTTTACAAAGTTAAATTGAATAACACTTAGTAATTTTGGTCTTCAGATTAGAAAATTAGTACATGTAATTAAAATTTTCTGTCTTATCACAATCAGACTTATTTCTTCTTAAGTATAATATCTCTAAACTTCGTAAATTTCTCTGGTGATAGCGGTTTTGTTAAAATGTCTGCCACCTGAGTTTCAGTGTTACAATATTTTATTGAGAATAGTTTCTCTTTCAATTCTTCACTTATGTAGTGATACCTAACGTCTATGTGCTTATTTGTACACGTTACTTGTCCGGATTCTATTAGCTTGATTGCACTCTGATTGTCGACACACAGTTCAGCTTCGACCCTTTTTCCTGTTAACTCCTCTATCAACGTCTTTAGATATTTCATTTCTTTACAGCACTCAGCTGCTGCAATATATTCGGCCTCAGTGGTTGATAATGCAACAATACTCTGTTTCCTAGAGCACCATGATATTTGGCCCTCTGACATCATAATTACATATCCCGTTACACTCTTCCTATCCTTTACATCCCCTGCATAATAAGCATCACTAAATGCTTCCAGTTTCACAGTTTCGGAGTCAGATGAGGTATATTTTATTCTTAAATCTCATGTACCTTTCACACACCTAAGGGTCCTTTTCGCATTCTGAACAGCTACTTTGTCAGAATTTTCTAAGGTTCAACTTTCCACATTTATGGCGAATGCCATATCGGGTCTGGTTTTAGAAGGCACATATAGCAGGCTTCCTACAGCTTTTCTGTAAGGAAATCTTATGTCATTTTCTTCTTCATCATTTGTTGGTGAGGTCATGGCCATGTGAGTTTTCATTTCTCGACTTTCTTGCATGTTGTATTTTTCCAACATTTGGCTTGCATAGTTGGTTTGAGAGATACATATCCCATCTGGTTGCCTCTCAATTTGTATTCCTAAATAAACTTTTGGATTTGTGGTCTTTGTTTCTGGAATTGATTTTCCAGTTTCAACAAAATTTCCTCTATTTGTCTTTCATCCTCTCCCATGATTATCCCATCATCCACATGAATGGCCATGAAGAAACTATTGGCATCATTCGTAAAAATGCATTGGTCAGATTTTAGTTGGTTTAGACCTCCTTCTTTTAGGAAGTTTGTCAACTTCTTGTTCCATTGAGATGGTGCTTGTCTTAGGCCATATAATGCATTTTTTCAGGAGACATATCTTGCCAGTGTTTTTGTATCCTTCTGGTATCTCCATGTAGTTTTCCTCCACAAGTTCTCCATACAGGAAGGCAGTCTTCACATCAAAGGTTTGCATGTTCATATTGTTACGTGCTGCTATGGCAAACAGTACTCTAAGAGAATTCATGTAAACAACTGGGCTAAAAGTATCCTTGAAATCTATTTCCCCTTCCTTTTGTTGGCATCTTCTCACAACCAGTCTGGCTTTGTGTCTTCCATCTGAAAACCCATTTACTGGTCAGAATTTTCTTGCCCATTGCTTTCTCTCTGTTTACATATATCCAAGTTTTGTTTTGGTAGAGCGAATCCTTTTCCTCTTTAATGATTTTCTTCCACTTTTCGCTGTCTTCGCTCTCCGTGCGCTCGTCATATGTATAGGTGAGCATACACTCCTTTTGACTCTCTGTGTGATAATCTCAGTACTTTGGGTGCATTTAAATGTATCTTCTTGGTCTCAATGCATATCCATATTCGTTTTGTCCATTGTTTTTCCTTCCATTATCCTTGTGGTCAGCATTTTCATTTTCTTCATTCTCTTCAGTATATGTTGATTGTTCTTCCTTGTTGTCAGCTTCTGGTTCTTGCTGCATTTCACTATCTTGCTGATCTGGAGTATTTGGCTTGTCTTCTGGATTCATCACTCTTTCCATTTCCTTTTGTTTATTTGTTGTCACAGGTTTACTTGTGAATGTCACATCTCTGGAGATATAGGTCATATCAGTATTTGGATCCCATATTCTGTAGCCATTTGTGTTGTATCCAACGAATATTCCTTTCTTGCTACGACTGTCCAACTTTTTCAGTGGTCTGAGAATTTTGGTGTACACTTCTGAACCAAAAATCTTAAATCCAGTCAGATCTGGTCTTTTACCATACCATTTCTCCACTGGCGTTCCATTCACTGTCACTGTTGGACTTCTGTTTAGCAGGTATGCAGAAGTGAGTACAGCTTCACCCCACATTCTCTTACGTAAACCTGAGTCAAAAATCAATGCTCTTGCCTTTTCTACAATGGTACAGTTCATCCTTTCGGCAGTGCCGTTTAGCTGTGGCGAATATGGTGTAGTAAATTCCATTACAATCCCCTTGTTCTTACACCATTCTCTCAAGGCGTTGTTCTTACATTCCCCTCCATTATCACATCTTATTCATCTCACTCTTGTATTTAAGTGACACTCAGCTTCATTTACATATTCCTTCAGAAAGTTATACACTTCATTCTTATTTTCTAACAGGTATATCTTACAAAAATGCGTATAATCATCTGCACACGTAAGGAAATATTTCTTATTGTCATAAGTGGTGGGATCAATTGGTCCACACACGTCACTATGAATTATCTCTAATGGCTTTCCAGACCTACTTCTTTCTGTATCAAATGGGAGTCTCACTTGTTTGGCCTGCATACAAACTGAACATGTATCAAAATTCTTACACTTGCTCACACTTTCTGGTATCCCTTGGCATATCTCTTGTAGTTTCCTAAGATTCGCATAACTTATGTGACCTAGCTTTCTATGCCACTCTACACTTATATCTTGCTGCGTCATCATAGCTTCATTCCTCGTGCTAAAGTTAATTATAAACAATCCATTTTCATCCTTTTTTTTCTTTCGATTACATTTTTGTCCTTGAATATCTGGACTTTCTCTTTTGTAAACAACGCTTCTCCATCATTTTCTGTAATACAGTGAGCTGACAGCAGGTTTTTGCTGAGTTCTGGAACATATGAAACATTTTTCAAACTACACTCTTTAAATTTAAAATTGCATATTTCTTTTGCAGTCATACTTTGATTTTTCTTTACTACCTTTATACATTGAGTATATTGCTTAGTATGTATCAAATCAGTTTTCACATTTGTCATATGACATGTGCTACCACTATCCACCAGATACATTTTGTTCATTTTTACTTGCATCACTCACATGGGATTCTGCTGCTTCAGCTAGAAAATTGACCTTGCTTCTTTTATTCCTATCTTTAAAATAACAGTCCTTTTCAGCATGGTTCATTTTCTTACATATTGTAAATTGTTTTCTCGTATCATCGTCCTTATTTCTAAAGTAACAGTCCTTTTCAGAGTGATTATTCCTTTTACAGATAGAGCAATTTCTCTTACCTTTGTTGGGGCAGCTGATCTGGGCATGACCTATTTGATTACAATGGAAACACTTGAAAGGGGTTTTACTTTTGGTTTTAGTTACTGTCTTAAAGGCTATGCTTTCCTCTTCTTTAGTCGTCATCTTGCACTTCACTTCTTCCAACATCAATCTGGCTACCAGGTTGTCAAGGGTTCTGTCCACAGTCATCGTTGAGTCCCAAGGGGTGCCGAAGTGTTTCTAGTCTTCTGGTAGAGTCGTTATTTTTGTCATGATCATGTTTTCATCAACGTTATGGTTCAGTTGATGAAGCTTGAAGGCAATGTTCTGCACATGACTGATGTTCGTCATCATATCCTTAGTTTTGTCCTACTTGAAGTTGTAGAAGTCTTGTAGCAGAAGGCACTTCTGTTGAAAGGTGTCTCGCTGATAAATTTGCTTCAAGGTGTCGTACATTTCTTTCGCAGTTGTGCATGTCACAGTGTGGGTCTTCACGTGTTTCTCTATCATTCTCATTATGTAGTATTGGCAATTTGCATCTCACATTTTCCATTTCTTATATTTTCCTTGGTCCTTCCTTGGTCACATAACAGGTCGCTGCCATCAAAGACGTTTATCAGTTCTTTTGCACACATCAGAATCTTGATTTCAAAATCCCACAATGGAAATGAGTCAGCGTCCTTCAGTTTTGGCAGATGTGTTATCTCTTCTGTCTCTGTGGTTGCCATTTTTCATTCTTCGTTTTTTTTTTCTTCTTCTTTTTGCTCTTTCCTTCC